TTCAAAAAAAAAAAAAAAAAAAAAAATTCTTCGTAGAATAAAACCCTGATCATAGAAACGTGATTCAAATGAAGATAAAAAAAATCTCGTATATTCACTTTTCATCATTTCTAAAATAACTTACATGAATTTAACGTTTTGAATAAGGAAATAGTGTTAAATCATATCAAGGAATTTTCTCCCCTATATTATTACAATAACTTTGACGGGTCCGATTTACTTTTAAGAGATTAATTTAATGAGTTTGAAAACTTCAAAGCATAATCAAATATGTTGGCGAAAATTTACCAACTTGAAAATTTTAGAAGATTGAGAATAATGATACAGTTAAAGACGAAAATTTTACCGAGGCATCATGAGTGAATAGCTCGCGGTTGGTTAGCTAATTGATGAGGGAATAACTTATCAAGACGACGGTCCGAAAGCTAAAAGGACCTAGAAAAAATGAGTATGATAAGATCGTTAAAATGTTCGAATATGTCTAAATACATACCTCTGTCCATCTTTTGAGAAGTTGTAAAAGTTGCAGTTGAAATGTCCCATAACAAAGCAAATCATATTAAGATTGCCCACCAAAATATGTTCATATCTTTATCTCATTTCTCCACTTTAAAATCCTAATAAGATATGGTTCTTTTTACTTGCTTTCATAAGTAGCAAGATTTGTGAGATAATTGACATATGAGAGTTGTTCTACTTCACCAGAGACGTTTGGTTTCTGATGATGTAGTGTAAACAAACAAAAATGTAACAATCCAAGTTCACTGTTAGTAGATATGGTCTACTTTGGCTCATTACGTAACACCGACAACCTCACAGTTTTAAAATGCATCTGTTAGAGAGAGGTTGTTCTCATCTCCAACCGATGTGGGATCTCATATAAAATATAAATCGAGACTGGTTTCTTAATCTCACATTATACGGATCCACTGCTTGAGTTAAACACCTCTTATCAATTTTAAGTCAAACTATGTATTTAATCGTTGAGTATTTTTTAAAAGTTTCTAACAAGTATCTATGGTGTGAATCGAGGGCCCTCGATCAAGCTTCAAGCTTCAAGCTTCCATCCATCCGAGAATAATGAAAAGCCTATCAAAAAAATTCGGGATGAGAATAACTTTACAAGTGGTACCGATCAACATGGCTTGAAACACCTACTCTAGCTCTTGTTAGAATAGGAGTAAAAGAACCCACATGTGACCTTATAATTTAGGGTTTATTTAGTGTCTCTATTAGGGATCACATGTGAGGCCTAAAGCCCAACAATTTAGGGTTTTTAAAAAAAAATTCTTCGTAGGCTCGATTCTCTTTAGCTCGTGATAACTCTTGAGTTAATAAGATTGTTCTGTTTCGAGAGTTTAGTTCTTAAGCAATCTATGTGTAAACTTATTTGGGTCACTAGATTTGGCCCGACAACAAGTATTCATCGGTCGTCGTAGGTCTCGAGTCATGCATGGATCCTACCTTCTTACCATGTCAATACAACCCTAAGCAACTAGGGTCAACACCCATGCTTCTTGGTGGGTCTTATTTTCATCATTAGTGGCCAACAATGGCTCTTGCTTAGCTTCATCTCCAACACTCGACATCCATACATTCATTTATCCCGAAACCCTTCTTCCCTTCCTTGCCTTTAAGGACTAACCTTAGACCTTTTCCCACACTCATGTTAAGCTCTAGCTTCATCATAAGTGACTCGTTGTTACAAAACTTGATAAGTGACTCAAATCGTTGATTGGGTTGAAAAAATTACAACCCGAACAATTGGGTTGAGCCTAAAAATGTTCAAACTCGCCCCAATCTAATCCACGAACACTTCTAGCCTTCAGATCACGCCATGAATGCGTTGCTTGCCAAGCTAGTAGTGCAATCATGATAAGTCCCACCGCAAATATAAGTTTCGTGCAAGTATTTCATATCTTCCTCCCCTTAATTATTCAAAATATAAGTCATGCAAGGATGTCTGCTTGAGAGGTTGTGCAAACCAAAAATCAGCTGCCTTATCCTTTCTTCCATTATTTCATATAAAAACACAAAGATCACGTGAAGACAATAATTTAGCAAAACGAAAATGGATTTTCTTCCATCTTAAAAAATATCAAGAATCTCAATGATCGAACGGCTGCAAATAGGACATGTGCCTCCGTTGAGCCGTAGTTCCCTAGAACATACCCTACAAAAGGTGTGTCCACAGGGAATAAAAGCAGCACCTTTACTCCTCTCCATGCACACGCAGCACAACCAATCACCGTTGTTCTCACTCTCCTTTCTTCTCGTCTTCCAATCCCCACCGTCTATTTCTTCAAATAATCTCACCAGTGATTTCACATTGCCGACGGTGGGGCCTCCTTCCTCGGTCAAGTTTCTCTCAGCCGCCAGAGCCATCGCCAAGTTCATCCCGGAAGCTGCAGAGCTCCGAGTCCCATCGTCTCTATGGCTGCGGCTACTTCCATGGCGGCTTAAACCTATACCATCAATCATCGTCAAAGTTGACGATGTTGAACTCCATGAACCTCCACAGCACCCAATCCCCTTCATCAGTCCTAGCCGTTGCTTCAAATTGGCCCATCTCTGCCCTCGATTTGGCCGCTCCATTTCCCCTCCAAATTGCTGGACTGACACGAAAAAGACCCACAAAGGAGTTCTAGTAAAATGAATCCTAAATGGTATCAGGTGTTAGAGAAGATAACAATCCAGACATACCCAGAAAGAAGAATGCCTCAAAATGTGCTTTTTCAGACCAAAGAAGAAGCTAAATCAGGAAAGAAAAAGTGGGTTTTGTGAAAGAGTGAATGATCTTACTAACCAATTCTTAAGGGTTCCGTAGACCTTCAGGAACAGGACTTCATGTCTGCCATGGCTGAGTGGTGGTGTAGAAGAGAGAAACTGGGAAGCAGAATGACGGGCAATACCCTGTCCATTCATTCCATTTCCATTTCCATATCTGAAAAAGTTGGCTCTAAAGAAAGTTTCTGTAGTTAGATTGAATGAGCTGATTGATCAAAAACTTTGTGGCTGGCATTGGAGTGGAGGGGGGAGCCGCAGCAGGCAATGAAGAGATATAGTAAAGCAATAATCGTGAAGGGGTCGCTCTCGATCTATATGGAAAAGGGGACCCGCCTGTTTGATTTGTCACTGTGTGAGCGGGAAAACGTAGACCTATGCGCCATTCAAGCTATAACCTGTTTGGTGAGAATGCACCATTTACTCTTGTAAGCCTATAATAAATACAAATGATGTATCGTTATAAATTTGTAGTGCATAGTTTTCTTCAACAACCCACCATCCCGAACAGTATAATCTCAAGTATCTCAACTCAGTAAAAGAAATACTTTATGAAAATGATTGTTAATACGAAATAATCTATGGGGTAGTTCACACATGAGAGTGTTGTGTGGGGATCATCATCTACCATTTCTGGCTTTAACCCTTTCAAACGCAAATCTACTTTTGGGAAAAGAATCTTGAAGTCATACGTTCTAGACATTAAGGGTTCTATTTGAACATCACAATATATACCTGTATAGAATAGAACATGATAGCCCATGTGAAAATGTAATAGTCTAGACCTACCGCTAATAGATGTTGTCCGCATCTGTTACGAATCGTTGTCAACCTCACAGTTTTAAAACGTGTCTGCTATGAAGAGGTTTCCACATCCTTATAAGAAATATTTCATTCCCTTCTCCAACCTATGTGAGATCTCACAATCCACCCCCTCAGGGGTCCAACGTTCTCGCTAGTACACCGTCGAGTGTCCGACTCTGATACCATTTTTTGTAACAGCTCACTGCTAGCAAATATTATCCTCTTTGAACTTTTCCATATAGCCTTCCTCTCAAGGTTTTAAAACGTGTTTGCTGGATAAGTTTTTATACTCTTATAAGAAATGTTTTGTTCCCTTCTCCAACCTATGTGAGATCTCACAATCCACCCCCTCGGGGACCTAGCGTCCTCGCTAGCACATTGTCCAGTGTCTAGCTCTTATACCATTTGTAACAGTTCAAGCTCACTGCTAGCAAATATTGTCATCTTTGGGCTTTCTCTTATAGGATTCCTCTCAAGGTTTTAAAAGGCGTATGCTAAAGAGAGACTTTTATATCCTTATAAGAAATGTTTCGTTCCTTCCTCCAACTAATGTGGGATCTCGCAGAATTTGAAATGGTCAAAATGAAATACTCAAAACTACTGGTGTGCTACTCTTCTACCTTAAGGAGCTCTTAGCATCCTAGGGAAGATGAATGAAGGCCAAGAAAACTTAGAAAAAGGGAGGCCATTTTGTTCTTAAATGAGGGCATTGAGCAAGCTAGCTCCTAAAGCCATAATTATGGCAATTTTTTGCTTCTTTGCGGCCATTTAATTCAAAGATAAAGAAGGCAAAAGCCAATAAATCCGGCACGTTTCTTCTCCTTCCTACTAAATTTGAGGGGTTTCCAACCCACATTTTGTCCACAAAAATTTAAATCGGCCATAATGAAATAAAAGTGAACAGTGACCCTAGAAAAGCTATTTCTTCACGCTTTCATTCAAGTAATCGTATCTCTATGAACTGTAACAGCCCACACCATTAGCAGATATTATACGCTTTGGCCCATTACATAGAGCCATCAATCTCACGGTTTTTAAAACGTGTCTATTAGAGAAAGGTTTCCACACCCTTATAAGGAACACTTCGTTTTCCTCTCCAACTGATGTGAGATCTCACAATCCACTCCTCTTGGGGGTCCAGTGTCCTCACTGACACACCATTCAGTGTCTGGCTCTGATACCATTTGTAACAGCCCAAGTCCACCGCTAGCAAATATTGTCTGCTTTGACCCGTTACATATCGTTGTTAGTCTCATGATTTTTAAAACACGTCTATTAGGGAGAGGTTTCCACATTCTTATAAGGAATGTTTTGTTCTCCTCTCCAACTAATGTAAGATCTCACATGAACAGAGAACTATCACATGTCATACGCAAAATCAAGGATGCTCTGACCTTATATTGAAATTATTGAGTCACGTTCCTGAATCCACCCGTCCCTGTATGCCAACAAGAAACTCAGAATTAGTGACAAAATAGTGTTCCCAGATAGTAAAGTTCGAGCAATAAAATCCTATTGCAATATAGTAACTAATCCTCCACATTATTAACAGTTCCAATTCCACGTGAGAGAGCAAGTGAAAAACCATAGAGGATTCTAGAAGTAGGCAAGACTTTTGTATCCCATATGCATACAATTCAAATTCCATCATCATGAATAAGAGACAACCAAGTCAAAGGAGTGTGTTCAAATTGAACGTATGATCATAGATGGGTAAAACTCCACCATAAACAATGTGTACACACCTATACACTATACATATCAGCTGTAAATGACAGTGTGTCGATGAACGCCATCTCCAAACCCCCCGAAAAAGAAAAAATATGGCTGTAAGAAACTCCAACGCTAAGAAGGCGAACCACAAAAAAATGTGTTCGTACAATGAGGTTAGATAAGAAGGTTCATATTATTGATTCTCACTTTGGTATGTTAAATAAGAAGGTTCACTTACCATCGCGCACTAGACATCTTTGAATCGCTCTAGATATTGGCCGCATGATGGATGAATCTAGTTGAGCATAAACCAAACTGACCTTCATAAGGCGAGAAAGATCACATGGGGAAAAAAGGTGCGTTCCTTCAATGTGATTAGAGCTACATATCAGCCCTAGGATAACATGGATGTGAGATCCCACATTAGTTGGAGAGGTAAACGAAGCATTTCTTACAAGGGTGTGGAAACCTCTCCCTAGTAGACGCGTTTTAAAACCGTGAGGTTAAGGTGATACGTAACGAGCCAAAGCAAACAATATCTATTAGTGGTGGACTTTGGTTGTTACAAATGATATCAGAGCCAGGCATCGAGTGGTGTGCCAGCGAGGATGCTGGCCCCCAAAGGGGTAGATTGTGAGATCCCACATCGGTTGGAGGGGGGAACAAAACATTCCTTGTAAGGGTATGGAAACCTCTCCCTAGCAGACACGTTTTAAAACCGTGAAACTGACAGCGATGCGTAACGGGCCAAAGTAAACAATATTTACTAGCCGTGGACTTGGGCAATAAATTAAGTGAATCCTATCCCAATGTAATTTGGTTAGTTACATCAATACATCACCATATGAAACCAAGTCGGTGAGTAACTCTGGTTTACACTTAACTTTTGAAGAATCATTGTAAGCACAGACAAATCGAAGAGACTATTTCCAGCCAAGGATCCTGACCTGAATAGCTAGATTCCGACTCACAAACAAGATACTCGACAACCTTAACAGCTAATCAATATATACACCCTCCCGAACGGAACTAATGACAAACTAATCAGGGGACTAACACATTGAAATTGTTTTAATCCATAAAGTTTTAAAACAAGAACATAAGAAACTAACTTTTAAATGTTTACAATGGTTGAATAAAGAAAAATGAATAGAGTAATTCTACAACTGCTAAGACGCAAAAGCCTATTCTCTGAAGCACTATAAATTGAGGGCAGTAACACAATAGGAAGCATTTTACAATAAACAATTTCTGTCCGAAAACACTTACCCCAAATTCCACATCCACAAGAGAATTCACAAATTCATCAGCTGAATCTTTGCGCAGTCCAAGATCAAGCATGGTGAGATCCCACGTTGGTCGGAGAGGGGAACGAAGCATTCCTTATAAAGGTGTGAAAACCTCTACCAAGCACACGCATTTTAAAACTGTGAGGCTGACGACGATACGTAACGGGCCAAAGCGGACAATATCTACTAGCGGCAGGCTTAGGCAGTTACGATCATGGATCATCGCCTTGAGGAGGATGCCTCCAAGGTGCACCAAAGCATAATCTATCTTCTGAAACCAATCCATTCATTAGTTTCCTTGCCCTGTCACAGTACTATAAATCTCAAACGCTCAAGTTATCAGATAGAGGTTGCTCCACTCCTTAAAATTTTGTTTTGATCATTAAGCACCAGGAAATGATAGTGCAGAACTTTCATATTAGAATCACAATATCACATTAAACTACCACTAATCTCTACCAAATTTTTCATCAACACCAACAACCTAAAATATTAGGCAAGGTTAACTTATTCATTTGTAAAACAATTCTCATTTCTATGCCTAGTAGACACTAGACAAATGAAGAGGTGGACGAACTTGGAGTAATAGCATGCAATTCATCTCCCTTTCATCTTTTCTCCTTATTCAGACACTGATATTGATTAAACTACATCAGCATTCAAACTATGCAATTCAATATGCTTACCTGAAAATGATCAATTTCAGTAGCTTGTGACAGTAACTCTATCAGCAACCAAGGCCAATCGGTACAGGAATGTGCCAATGACGGCGAAAAACCAGCAATGGCATTAGCTCGCCAGCCTTGCCGAACTTTGATCGCCTCCTTGGAGGGCAGCGTTAAGGACCCGAACAACCTCGGCTGCATTACAACGAGCAGATAGAGCAAGAACTGCTTGATCCACGTTACCGAGCTTGGCTCTCTGCGCAAGACAAACACTTTTCGGCCCAGAAGGCCCAATAAGAAAGGCCCATTTGGAGTTCCGTGGTCTTCTCCGCGTGACCATCGCATTTTCTCTTTCAACCGTCAGGTTTCGTTCGGACTTTCTCTCTCTACTCCGAAGCTTTCTTTTTTCTGGCTCTCTTCTTCGTTGATTGTGTTTTTGATTCCGCCAGCAGACCCTTTCTTTTCTGTAATTGTTTCTGTCAGAGGCCCTTTCGATTTTCCCTTTTCCTTTCCCACCAAGCAACCCTTCTATCTCTTTCTCTCATGTTCTCTCCTTCTCCCCCTTCTTTCACAGCTTTCTAGGGTTCATTCCCCATCAATTTCTCCGTCGTAAATGCCTCCAATCACCGCCGGAACCCCCATTCCGCCGCCGTCTACCTCCTCTTCACAACCCCTTCTCGACCTCATCATTCAGATTGTTTCGCTTCTGCTTCTTTCTTCTCTCAATGTCCGGTCGTTCGTTGGGCGATGGCAGGTTCTTCATTCCAAGCTCTCCACTCTCCACTCTGCTCTTCTCGAAGTCTCCGATTCGCCTCACTGGTCGGAGAATCCCCTTGTCCATACTATTCTCCCATCGCTACTCTCCACGCTTCAGCGGCTCAAGTCCTTGTCTGATCAATGCTCCGACTCGGCCTTCTCCGGTGGGAAGCTTCATATGCAGAGTGATTTGGATATGGCCTCTGCTTCTCTCTCTAGTCAACTCAACGACCTCGATTTGTTGCTTAGATCTGGGGTTCTTTACCAGTCCAACGCGCTAGTACTGTCTCAGCCGGTTCCTGGTTCGAATAAAGACGATACGGAGTTTTTCATTAGGGATCTCTTCACTCGGTTGCAAATCGGAGGGGTGGAGTTTAAGAAGAAGGCTCTGGAGTCTCTGGTTCAGCTTCTGAATCAGGATGAGAAGTCTGCGGGGTTGGTTGCCAAAGAGGGAAACGTTGGGTATTTGATTCATTTGCTTGATTTCAGCTCTCAGCCCTCTGTGCGAGAGCTTGCGGCTTCTGCGGTTTCAGTTCTCTCAACGGCGAGCGATGAATCGAGGAAAAGAGTGTTCGAAGAAGGAGGATTAGGGCCTCTGTTGAGGATTCTTGAAACAGGATCGATGCATCTCAAGGAAAAAGCCGCCGCCGCCGTCGAATCCATCACCATCGATACTGAAAACGCTTGGGCCGTTTCCGCTTACGGAGGCTTATCGGTCTTAATCGAAGCCTGCCGGTCGGGCACTCCACAGCTGCAGGCTGCGGCAGTCGGTGCGATTAGAAATGTCACGGCGGTGGAAGATATCAAAACATCTCTCGTCGAGGAAGGGGCGATTCCAGTATTATTACAGTTGCTTGTTTCGAGCCCGACGGACACGCAGGAGAAGGCGGCAATGTCCATAGCAGTATTAGCCTCCTCCGGTGAGTATTTCCGATCACGGATCATCCAAGAACGAGGATTACAAAAATTATTACAATTGATCCACGATTCACCAAGTTTCAACACGATTGAAAACCCATTACGAGCCCTAAGTTCGCTCGCGGTTTCCGATCCAATCGCTCGGATTCTATCATCTTCAACATTGTTCATAATGAAACTGGGCGAATTGATAAAGCACGGAAGTTTAGTGCTGCAGCAAATCGCCGCCTCTCTGGTCGCCAATTTATCAATTAGCGATGGGAACAAGAGAGCCATCGGGAGTTGTATGGGTTCCTTGGTGAAGCTAATGGAGATGCCAAAGCCGGCCGGAGTTCAGGAAGCGGCAGTGGGAGCCCTAGCATCTCTTTTGACCGTCCGATCAAATCGGAAAGAGTTAATGAGGGACGAGAAGAGCGTGATGAGATTGATGCAAATGCTCGATCCGAAAAACGAGGTCATCTCCAAGACATTCCCGTTAGCCATCGTCACGGCGGTGCTCTCCGGCGGAAGCAACGGCTGCCGGAGGAGACTTCTAGAAGCCGGAGCTCACCAGCACCTGCAGAATCTCGCCGACAAGAACGTCGCCGGAGCTAAAAAGGCCCTGCAGCGGCTCACCGGCAATCGGCTGAGAAACATCTTCAGCAGAACCTGGAGGGAATAAACGCAAAAGAAACTAACCGCCGCCGTCAAAGGTAAGCAAATCCAATCCGAGGGTAAAATCGGAAACTTACAATAATATCATGTGTTGACCCTACACTTTAAGCCTTTCCCAGAGATTGACCCAGTAGCATGATAGGTAGAAAGTCAATGATGCCCCTACTCATGTGACCGGTTTGTGGCGGTCACAGTTTGGGAAACAAACACGACGTCGTTTTATTAGATTCCCCGTAACATTTGTGGACCACTGAATTCGAGTGGGCCCCTTAATCTGACATCTAATTTAGTCGTAGGAATTATGAAAACGACAGACCTATCTTTTCTTTCCTTCTTTATTTTATTTTTCAGAATAAAAGAATAATAAGTTAATTACTGAATTTATTTAATTTTTATTAACTGTATTTTCAGGGATTTGGAGGATTTCATTTGGAATTTTCTAACTGCCGAAGTTGAAGGGTTACAACAACAACAACATATGACCAAACCCAACAGCTATTTTCGCCTCCTATTATATTAATTATAAAAAAAAAAGGCAAAAAAAGAAGAAGAAAGAAGCAAGGATGCGGGTTTTAGGGAGTATCCTGGTATGCTTTTTTTCCTTATATTATTAATATTAATTTCACTGATGAAGATATGTAAGTGAGTTGTTCATGCCCATGATTGTCATCTTGTTTGATTGTGTAAATTTCAAGTCAGTTTCTTTCTTTTATTATTTATTGAATGAGGGAAAAGAAAAAGAAAAAAAAGGAAGAAAAGTATGTAATGAGAGAGGGGATTTTTGTGTATACTTTTTTTGACCAACAAATGTGTCGGATTATGAATGATGATAATCTGTGAATCCGAATCCTTTTGTTTTCTCCTGTGTTGGCTGAATGGGTTGTATTCTGTCTGCTCTGGGTTTGCAGACGAAGTGGGTACGTGAGATCCCACATCAGTTGGGGGCAGGAGAACGAAACATTCTTTACAAGGGTGTGGAAACCTTTTCCTAGCAGACACGTTTTATAATCTCGAGGTAACGATGAAGGACGATGGTGGGGCCATGGGTTTCTTTCTTGTTCTCATGCTTGTTTGTTGTCCCAAAACAAAGCTCAGCCCCACAAGTTAGTTAGCCATGGATCTTCCTTTCTTTTTAGTTGGAGGGCAATCATGTTGTGATTTGAGAGGGTTGGGGTTCACTCAGGCTGGCAATCCCATGTGAAGGGGAGTAAGCAAGCAATTATGGGGTTAGATATTGAAGGGTTGTTTTAGCCTTGAGAAATGTATAAACCCATGGGAGAAATTATGATTGAAGGTTGGATATGGATAAAGGTCTTTTTCTTTTCCTCGCTTTCCGAACTAATCTATAACCGGAGAAGTTTCTACATCCTTACAAAGAATGTTTCGTTACTCTATTCAACCAACGTGTGATCTCACATAATCTTTCATGACCCGACGACCCGACCTTATTACAGTTGGATGCTGCATAAAAGGCATATGGATGTGGGGCTTTATACATTGTATATTCACATGGTTGTGGTTGCCAGTTGCGAGTTGCCAGTTATGGTTCCTTTTTGGATAAAATCCCATTTGGTTGGGAAAAAAGAGGAAATGAAAGGAAGGGAAAGGAAGAGAGTTTTGATATGTCCCAATGGAAAGCTATCATTCCTAAGCTAAGCTAAGCTGTAAAGTTCCCATTTCTACACTTTTTCATTCTCTCTCTCTCCCATCAGCTACCCCTCAGAGCAGTCAATGCTATACACAGACCCAAATTAAGGCTCATGATGCATACAAAGCAACATGTTTTTGGCTTAGGGTTTAAAACAACTAATACCTTTACTTTACTCATAAGCTCACTAGCGGAGTATTAAAACATTCAATAAGGTACTCTCGGTCGGGGTTAGATGTGCACCCATTCCTAATCTCCTCCTTGGTATGTCGGTGATCCCGTAGGATGACTTAGATCACTCCCTCTATTACTCAAGTACACGATGTCTAATTATCGCAAATGTAACAACACAAGTCCGCATTGTTCGCTTTGCCCTATTACGCATCGTCGTCAACCTCAAGGTTTTAAAACGTGAAAACGTCTATTAGGGAGAGGTTTTCATACTCTTGTAAGGAATGTTTCGTTCCTCTCTCCAACCGATGTGAGATCTCACAATTCACCCCCTTGTGGGCCTAGTATTCTCCGGTGTTTGGTGCTAATACCATCTGTAATAGCTCAAGTCAACCACTAGCAAATATTGTGTATGAACATTCCTTAGAAAAGGAACATTCAAAACAGTGACAATCGGGTCATAACGTATATAACAATCCGGTTTCCAATTCACCTCGAGCACAGTCTTCCCTACCCATCAACTCGATAATTTGTCCCTAACCCTTTAATGAAATAAAAACGTGTTATATACAACACTTTTGATTTGAATTCAAGTTTGAAAAAATCTCCTTTCATGATTTCAATCAAATCTCCTCTTAAATTTACATCCCAAAGTCTCAATCTTTCTTAATTCTTCTCCAAAACTCACAACGAATGCTTCGCTATAATCTTGTTTTGATGCTCCTTCCACAACTTCTGCTGCTGCAACAAACTATCATGGTTCATCCCTTCAAAACTCCGATCATTTCCACTCAATTCGCTTCCCCACGGCACTGCAAATGGATCGTTTTCAATACCCATATCAACTCCGATCAGAAATGTTGCTGTTTCTGCTCTGAATGTTGGGGCCATGGTTGCTGCTTCATTCAAATTATGACCGCCGAATGTTTGAGTCATTTCCGTCTCTGCTTTGAACGTTGGTGCAACTGTGAATAA